AATATAAAGTATTTTGTCAGAGTTAGTAAAGTTGTTCACTGAATGTTCACATGCGTGATACAATAATACGTCACTTAGATTTTCTCAAGCCAAAGAACTTTAATAAAATTATTTATCTTAACGAAATTATGAAACGTTCAAAAATTAACTTATCTCCTCTTGAATCAGATTTTTCTATTTTTTTTCATTGTAATACTTGTTTGATTTAAATTTATAAAACTTAGGAAAAAGTATTTCTATGTTAGAAAAAGGATATTTTACGATAACTCTTTTCCATTGTTTCTTTATAGATACATAAACGAAACCAATTTGTGGTAACGAACCCCGGTCTTCCTTATTTTTTAACAATCGAGCAATCATGTGGAATTTCTTTCTCGAGACTATCGCAAATAAAAGGGAAAGAGATCATGTCGTGTTTAAAATTAAATATCTCGTACGAGATAACGCAAATTTTATTGTATTTATCTTTTGTAAACAATCGATATCTGTCTATGGTTTTTTTATAGCAATTTTTTATAGCAATATTTGCAAAGATATAGAATGTTTAATTAAACTTAATCCTTTATTTAATTCCAGTTCATAATTTGCGTTCTTCATTTTAATATAATGAAAATAATAGTTCGACCTTAACTTTATTACGTAAAGAGTAATTAAGAAGACATTATTAACGCATCTTCTCTTATGCCATTTTCTCACTTGCCCTCGCACCTAATGCAATTCTGCTACCTCAATATATACCTTTAACATCTACGCGACTGTATTTACGAAATATACTAGAAGAAGAACGTTCGAGATTTACAACCCAGATCAGATCTACTTTGCAGTGATATGGGTGCAACGAGGTATTTTATTTCGTTCTATCCTCATTCCGCGAGCGATTCACGTCTACTGTATAATAAAAAGGATCGTATTATTAAGAGAAAGCTAAATTTTTCTTTAAAGCTTTAAAATCAGCCGCATATTCGCAGTAGAGAAGACTTTCAAGATTTCTAGATCGACTGTCCATATAGTTTAAGGATGTTATCAAGTACATGTATGGTCTCTGCAAATGTGACTGGAATTGAAAATTTATATTTTCCGCATAAAAATGAATGTTATATGAAACAGTTCATATTCATATTTAACAATACAGTTTTATAATTTAAATGGAAATTTTTCATTTTATCTCAATTATTAAAAAAAACACGTCTACTTTATTAAAATAATTTTTAATGGAAGTTCTAAATTGTCCTCAAACTTTTTGTATCACTTTTAAATATGATCCAAAAACGTGTAATTTTTTGCATTTTATTGATGTAATACTACATTCTTAATTAATTCCAAATTCTTCTGCAGTTCTAAGTGTCAGTAAAAAGTCTCCGATTTTCTGATTTTTAGGTCGGTAATATGGTAATTTGATATAATAAATTCTAAAACTCGTTAGAGTAAATATAGATGATACAAATTATTCCGAGTATGATTCCACGCGTGATTCCACAATTGACAAGATTTACTATTGATCTACAATTTTCGCGAATTTATGATTTTCACGAATCTTAGATGCTTTCCAGCAAGGACACAGGTCAGACACAGTGAATCATTACATCCTTGTTATTTGCCTATGTTAAACAAAGATGAAACGATTCACTGTATTACACAATATCTGACTCTGTCCTTGCTGGGAAGCGCCCTTAGGCACGATTTTACAATATACGGTTACCTAAAGATTAAAGGTAACTAAGAAATTCATGAATGAATTTCATCGATGAATCTGTTGGTAACCTTTAATCTTTAGATAATCATATATTGTGAAAACGATTCTCAGCTTGATAAGAACCAATTGTAATTGAGGATCGAATTGCGCTGCAGTCAAACGTAGAGTCATTATTTTCACGTTGTCTACTGGTGCGCAATAATGCGTTTGTCCTCGTTTTTGCATTGTTCAGAAACGTACAATAACCTGATTGTGAATGGACGTATACGCTCTACTATATTTTGCCCGTAATACTTGGGCACTGCGTAGAGTCGGAATATTGTCATCTATCGATCGCGCTGTTGAGTGAAAATGGAACTAAATGCGATCGATCAAAGTCAAAGTCTCTGACTGCAGGCCGCGCGTGTGCGCACGCTGCGTGCCATAGGTTACTCTCTGGTTACTTTACTCCTTTGACATTTTTTCCAAACGTAACTGTCTGTGATCTGCGATATGCTTTTCTGCCTTCTGTATTATTAAAATTCAATCGGCTTGAGATATTCAAAGCGGAATTCTAAGAAAACGTAACCGCGTCTGATTATACCAATTATGCAGTAGAAAAAAACAAGGCGAGTTTATTTGGCTGAGGAAGGTTGCGATGTGAGCTTTTTCAAAGTTTCAAAATATCAATATAATAATAACAATACGTTGAAGGAAAAGTGACATTCGTTTTTTTTTTTCTATTTGAGCCAATCGAGAGAATCAAAATGATCGCTATTTCTTCATTATATGTAGGTCTGTCCATATTGTTTGAAATCCGCAAAAATTCTTGCACTTAAAAAAGAGATAAATACCTATATTCGAAAAGAGAGAATATGAAGATACTGATTGCAAAGAGTACAAGCAACGCAAACAGATCTTATCCCATGCAGCATATTAATGTCAAATCAATATATCTAGAGAAACGTTGAACTGCAATATTGTGAGTGTTAATCAACATCGCGAAATGTAGGTTCAATGCTGAAAAGAATGTTCACACTTCAACATTTAACATTGTAACGTCTCAGCAACAACGTTTTGTACTATATGAGAATGTTGTTTCAACGTTGTAGCAATATTAGCAATCAGCGTAGAAAACTATTCTTCCAATGTTCTGTATTGTAAGGAGCATGTAAGAATGGATAACAAATTTCACGCGACAAATACACGCGTACATCAACGGTGGGATTTGCATGTAGAACAAGCAGCCCTTCCAACGTGCTACAGCCGTATTTTCATGATTCTAACGTTGTTGTATGTGGTGCTTCCCAGCAAGCGACATAGTGTGACACAGTGATCGTGTCCTCTTTGTTTAACATTAGCAAACAACAAGGATGTAATGATTCATTGTGTTACACTGTGTCTTTTGCTTTGCTGAAAAGCACCCATAGTGTGGCAAGGTAAAAATTCTACAACACGCAAAAGCGTGTTTAAAAAAATCACTTCCATCAAATTAGTCGACATTAAATTTTCTATCCAAATTTAATATCGACTAATTTGATGGAAGTGATTTAAAAAAAAATTAATTAAATGGCCACTCACGTGGACAATCCCACGCGCTTGGATCGTTTTGATTTTCGGACCAAGCTATCAAGTCGTAAAGCCCGTTTCGCATGTCGAAGGTCACCTGAAAACCCGGGGCGCTCGTGTGGACGTAGTCTCGAAAGGGCAATTCGTCGTCACGCGATGGTCAGCTGGCTTTTTCTTTTCTCAATCGAGCGGTCGAGACTATTGCAAGTCTACCGCGCAGTTCACCATCTTTCGCACTAAGGTTGATAGTATTACATCGTACCGTGATCTGCTGTGTCTAAAAAGCGAAGGTGTTCCAATGAATGAAATCACTTGGATACACAAGTAATTGTAAGCGATTCAATTTTACTTTCGTAACATTAATTATATTGTTTGTTATTTTTTTTTCCTCGTGCGACTTTTTGCGCGCGAAGATAAAGTGATATATATGTTTATATAATATTATATTAACAGAACTAATATACTATCAAAAAAAAAATTCATTCCGCATCGTTTATTTGTCTCGAATCGACATTTGCACATTTACTGTCACCCGCCATTCTCAAACATGATATTCCGCAAGTTCAAATGACGTGTAAATCATTATTCATCCTCGTATTGATAGGAAGAATATATACAGTGTACGTACATACAGAGTGTCCTGTGGAAAGTTGAAAAATATATATCATTGAGATTGACGATATTTGGTATTTTTATAAATATTTAAAGGACGATAGACCGATTTTATCGGCTTTTAATAATTTAAGTGAATTTAATGTGCGCGCATAGCATGTATAAACGAACATTCTCAGTTTTTTTTTACCACTTTTCGGTGCAAATATAATTATTTTGTTTTGAACACAGACATCTATACTACTACTACTACTACTATATCACTAATTTTGAATTAAGAAAATGACGGCGACAGTATAAGTATAAATAATATATGTATACGTATGTATTATACATTCCATTATAAAAAAGGTGTGAAAGTAATTATTTTTTATAAAAATTTTAACAACAGAGAGTTTGAAAAGGAAAAAAAATTCTTTTTACTGTCTTAACTTTTTCACAGACCATTATTATGTGTGGTACAGGTATATTTGGACTTATAAATTAAAAATTACAGAAAACCACCTTGTTCTTTAAAGATTAATTAAACGATACGAATATTTTCAATCGTTTTTTATACTTTATATGTAAATAAAACTGTCAAATATTGTCTATTAAAAATATTTTATTTTTTCTATTTCTTATACGTTTAAAAATGACAGCTGATTAGTTTCATCAGTTTTATATAGGACACCCTGTATTAGGATTTACATATATACGAGTCGATAGTTTCAATCTGCGTTGTTTGTGTGTATATAATATTTTTATCATCAAATATTTTTTATAGTTAAATACATATTATACAACGTTAGTAAATTTTTAAAAACAATCTCTCTCTCTCTCTTTCTCTCTCTTTTTCTCTCTGCATATATATTAGAGCAAACAATATGTTATTACAAGTATACAGTATATTTTCGCAAAAATCTTGATATTATACATTTTTTTCATTTTTTCAATAACTTGCATTTACGTATATGTTATATGTATTCTTTCCTTTTTCGACATTATTAATCGATTTGAGTCGTAATTGAAATGTAATCGAAAATCGGTAATAACGTACTATAATGATTTTTCGGGAAGAAATGTTTTTAAATTGATATACTACATAACATTTCTGGTTATGTATAATATATAATGTGAAAATGATTATTTTCTATTCATGTTATAGGAACAAACCGAAGACTTTCGCTTTCGATCACTGCTTTTATTCCCTGGATCCTGGAGCGGACAATTTTGCGAGTCAAGAGATTGTTTTCGACGCCCTGGGTCGTGATATTTTGGACAATGCATTTCAGGGTTACAACGCCTGTATATTTGCCTACGGACAAACTGGTATGGTATTAATTGTAGCAGTTACATTTTGTAACAATTGCTTTGGTTTAGCTGTTGTTCGCGGTACAATTCAGGCCTTTAAAGCGTTGTTGCGAAGCGCGTGTTGGAAAGGATGCGGTAATTAATGAGCAGGCCATGAACGGACGCGTAACGCGGTAAATAATGCAATTAATCGGTTCGGTCGTCATCGACAAACGACTACGGCTCATTTTCTGCGGGACAAGATATTGACTCAAAAGCAGAACGAGACATCGCGAATAATACTAACGCGAACTTCTCGTGTTAATCTACATATGATACGGATGTATATACATGAGATAAGGAGAATAAAACGGTGCAACATGAAAAAAGAAATGAGATAATGCGGAATGTTATTTCTAAATGCCTTCACGTTTGTTACGAGCATTGAGAAATGTGTATAGCTAATCAATCAGTTGTTTTTTTTTTTTTTTTAATTTTGTTTTTGCGTTTGTAATAGTAGATCATTTATATATATCGACTCACCTAAGATGTTATCTTTCGGAGGAATATATGTCTCTTATTAAATATTAATTTTTATAATAAAACGTAAATACAAATTATTTTTATAGTAAAACGTAAACGTATATTCCAAGTATCACGTTTATAAATTAAGTACCAGCAAATAAAAAAATGTAATAAAAAAAAATAGAGTAATAAAATAATGCAATTTCAAAATAAAATTTGAATTCAATGTTCGAAGTTTAAGTTTGATTTTTTCTTTTGGCACCCTTCAATACCATCCACACAATCAGATCAGGTTTACCAAAGTTGAATTTCGAAAATTGAATTATTTTATTTTGTTCAGAATTGTAATGTTCGAAAATGCATTGCCTTACTCTATAAAAAATTCTTGACACGAATATGTACATAAAATTCTTCAAATACTTTTAGAATAACACTTCAAAAGTTATTTATAAATAGGCAAATATTGTAAATAATTAAGCTTAAAATAATTTAAAGTAGCAAAGAGGATTTAACGTCTTTCGCACGCATGGCTTGTCCTTACAGGTTCCGGGAAGTCTTATACGATGATGGGCAGTGGTGACAACAAAGGCATAATACCACGGTTATGTGACAATCTCTTTGATATGATAGCGAAGCAACAAAGTTCCGAGCTCTCGTACAAAGTCGAGGTCTCATATATGGAGATCTACAATGAAAAAGTACACGATCTTTTAGATCCGAAGCCAAACAAGCAATCGCTCAAAGTCAGAGAGCACAATGTCTTGGGGCCGTACGTGGATGGGCTAAGTCAACTAGCGGTTACTTCTTTCCAGGTGATTGCTTCTCCTTTTTCTTGCTATTAGTAATTTATATATCTATAGATCATTTTTCTGAATCCAAACCGTTTACTGACGAAACTTTTAATTTCAACTCGATTAAATTCTAGGACATCGACAATCTCATGGCGGAAGGCAACAAGTCGCGAACAGTCGCGGCGACAAATATGAATTCCGAAAGCTCCCGTTCACATGCTGTATTCTCGGTAATTCTCACGCAGACTCTAACGGACTCGAAAAGCGGAGTCAGCGGAGAAAAAGTCTCGCGAATGAGCTTGGTGGATTTAGCTGGGAGTGAAAGGGCTGTGAAAACTGGAGCAGTGGGTGATAGACTTAAAGAAGGAAGCAATATTAACAAGTAAATTTATTTTTTTTTAACTTCGTAGAAATTATCTTTAATTAACGTAAACATGACAGATATATAATAAGCGTTTATTTTTATATATATAGATTTATAGATATAGAGATCTTTATATGTACATATATATATATATATATATA